AGCCTGTGGGTTTGGATACGTTGTCGTCCGTTGTGACGGGGAAACGAAAGCTCCGGTAGTGTACAGGGGTCCCGACGCTGTTGAAAGATTTCTTAAGTGTTTGCAGGAGGAAGAAAAAATTATTAGGAACGCACTGTATAGAGTCGCTCCCATGCGTATGACCCAAGACGACAGGCTAGCTCACACCTGCAGCACTAACTGTCACGTGTGTGACTCACCACTTAACGGTGATTCGGTGAGAGATCACTGCCACATAACCGGTAAGTATAGAGGCGCCGCTCACAACGCGTGTAACCTCAAGCTTAGAATCATCCCCAAGATAATAAACATCCCCGTGGTTTTTCACAACTTGAGAGGGTACGACTCACACTTGATCATGCAGGCCATCGCGAAAATCGATGGTAATATAGCGTGCATCCCCAACAACATGGAGAGATACATCTCCTTCAGCTTAAACGGCCTTAGGTTCATAGACTCGTTTCAATTTCTCCAGTCTTCATTAGACAGTCTGGTCAAGGCCAACGATACCTTCCCTATTACCGATCTATACACAGACGCCGAAACTAGACCCCTGCTTATGAGGAAGGGTGTGTATCCCTATGAGAACATGGATAGTTGGGCCAAGTTCGCCGAGACCAGACTACCCCCCATCAAAGAATTTTACAGCAATCTGACAGACTCGGCAATATCCCAAGACGATTACTCGCACGCTATTAACGCGTATGGAATAAACTGGGTTGTAAGAACCTGGGTGACTATCACGATCTGTACTTGAGGACAGATGTACTGCTGTTAGCCGGCGTGTTTGAGACGTTTAGGCAGACATGTTTCAAGCAGTATAAACTCGACCCCGCATGGTATTACACCAGCCCAGGTCTGTCGTGGGATGCCTTGCTTAAAAAGACCGGAGTTAAGTTGGAATTGCTTACAGATTACGACATGCACCTATTCATTGAGAAAGGCTTGCAGGCGGGATCTGCATGGCAACCAAACGATACGCGAAAGCAAATAATCAATACGTGAAGGGCTACGACCCTAGCAAGCCAACCAATCACATTCTCTACCTCGACGCCAACAACCTGTACGGCTGGGCCATGAGCCAGTATCTACCCACAGGGGGATTTGAATGGGAATCACCCATTGATGTTATGAGCATCGCGCCGGATTCGAACAAAGGTTATATCCTCGAGGTTGACTTGGAATACCCCAAGGCATTACACACATCACACAACAGCTACCCCCTGGCCCCCGAACGTATGAGGGTTAACCCAGACTGGATGTCTGAGTACCAACATAACTTGTTAGGTGGGCGGGTGGCGGACGTTGAAAAACTCGTGCCTAACTTAATGAATAAGACCAAGTACATCGTTCACTATCGCAACCTACAGCTGTACCTGTCGTTGGGTATGAGGCTGACCAAAATACACAGGGTGCTCGTGTTCAACCAGAGCCCCTGGATGGAGCCTTACATCAGAATGAACACAGACCTCCGAAAGCTGGCCACCAGTGACTTTGAGAAAAATCTCTACAAGCTCATGAACAACTCGGTGTTTGGTAAGACTATGGAGAACCTGAGGAAACGCGTGACCGTGAAGCTGGTTCGGTCGAATGAGGAAGACAAGCTCAGGAGACTGATAGCCAGCCCCGGCATTCAACCGTAGCAAAATATTCACCGATGACCTAGTTGCCCTACACATGAAGAAAAGCCACATAAAATTCAACCGGCCTGTTTACGTGGGGATGAGCATCCTCGACTTATCCAAACACCTGATGTACGACTTTTACTACAACGAGCTTAAGAAACAGTACGACGACAGGTGCGAAGTGCTGTACACTGACACGGATTCCCTGCTGATGGAGATTCGAACCGAGGACGTGTACGAGGACATGAAAAAACACCTCGATTTGTACGACACCAGCGACTACCCCAAGGACCATACCATACACAGCACGGTAAATAAAAAAGGTCCTCCATCATCTTCTGTCCCAGCATCGGTGATGAGAGGTTGATGCTCTTCTGATGGTGAACTGTGTGCTGCTATCTCTATGTCGGGTGACACTTGGGGAGACCTGACTGTAGACTTGTGTGCAGACTTGTGTGGTGACCTGCGAGGTGATCGACGTGGTGATGTAAGAGGAGATCGGCGTGGTGAACGGCGAGGAGATCGTCTTGGTGATCTGTGTCTATGGGATGACCTTCTCTCGGAGACCTGCGAGGAGAATGTTGATAGCTTCGCGAAGCTCTTGTGTAGTTCCTCGATGTCCTTCTGGACGATGACGATCTGGGGTCAGGTGTCCTCCGTGAAGGCCTTCGTGAAGGCCTTCGTGAAGGTTCCTCTGCGTCCGGACCTGGGGAACGGCGACTTGACCTCCGTGACGGCTTCCGTGAAGTCTGGTGGTCTGAGTCCGCATCTAAGGATGAGGCCGAGGAAGGTGATGATCTCTCCTGCCTTCGCGAAGGCTGTACATCTGGGTCCTTCGTCGAGGTGGTCTCGAAGGTGGCTTCGTCGTGGCTTCTACGCTGACGGGGGGGTGCCTCTGGGGTGTCGTCTGCGTTGCTCAGGCCCTGGGCTGGCTGCTTCTCCCGTCTGTAGTGGCCCTCCATCATGGTCATGATCTGCCGCAACAGCTCATCTGGGATGGTCTGCGACGAAGTAGTCGGTGCCCTCTCTGCGATGTTAGCGGCTGGGCCCTCAGGGAAGTCGTCTGACATCAGTGTAGAGACATCAGGCTGCATGGCGATCTCTGCTGATGTCACTGTAGCTGTCACCTGCCGCTTCTTGTGGCGTACGTCAGGGATGATGATCGGCTGATCATCGTAGAGGCCCAGTTCGGTGGCTGGAACGATCTCGGCTGAGAAAGTTCTTGACGACTTCGTAGACTTTCCCTTGGAGGTAGACGCTGCCCTGGGGGTACGAAGTGATTGGACTTTGGCTGCGATGACGGGACGTCTGGGGAGGCAGGACGCTTCTTGGAGGCGGCGGACTGCATCCCACGCCCCCTCCTCCGAAGGGGTCTCTAGCGGAACACCAGACGGGAGGGGGTCGATCGACAGCAGCTGACTGGATGGGGAATCCGATGTATCGGCCATGTCTAACCCTTGTTTGCGTGACCTATCTGCGGTACGTCTCAAGACGCAAAGATGATATTTATTAAAAGCAGAATTAGATAGATTAATGCAGTAACTGCAACGTGAATCAAACGCACAAGGCGTAGCACAACTAGGGCATAATAAATGCGGGTCAGCAACAGAAAAACGTAATCTACAAATAGTACAGATTTTCATCAACGTAATACTAGCTGAACAATCACGAACTCACGTGAATAAACAGTAGAAATACGATTAATTATCAATACAAATTAATGAATGATACTAGCTATACCTCTATAGTAACCTATAAGAGGTAACTAACTAAGAAAAAACCAAAGGATATAGTGTGTAAGGAGACACAGGCGCTCTCACATCCAGCTCACTGGGCGAAGAAGGAGAGAGTGAAGCATGAGGCCAGAGGGTGGCGACACCTGTTCCCGCGCAAAGGGCAAGGGAGGCAACTCTTGGTGAGTACCAATTAGTGATTTTACATTGAAGGTAGCTTCAATTAAGGAGATACAAGTGTTCCACTATGTTCGCAAGAAGAAGAAGACAAGCAAAAGAGCATGAGTCAGGATAAGGAAAAATATATATATTTGGAGACATTTAATAGGATGCACTTCTATGTTTATCAGGTATCATACTCTTTTACATATCTCAACATTAACTTTATAAAAGAGAGACATGTGAGATATTAATCAATAGATTAGACATAGTCAACACAAAGGGAAAAGCATAAAATATCTTTCAGGTGCCCCCTTGTGCCTGTAGGCAGCACGACCCGTGAAGATCCGGGGTAGAATAGGTCTTCAGCAACCCATGTGCTTGCCATAAAAAGGCGACTATCTTGTCGTAAGAGGCGACTAACGGGATCGGGTGGTCAGGCTCGATGACTTGGTCGACACATGTCATCGGTTCCCAATTGCGCAGATCGATGCTCATGCTGTTGATCACTGGATTGTCTGGTCCAGACTCCATTATTTACAGACCGCCGCAATATAGCTGGAATATTGCTGAGTGCGGCGTAAAACTAAACTCAATCACTGTAGGCAGCACTTTCACTTCATGCCAGGCGAGTCAATGGTCCGTCATAATACATGGCTTAGCGACCTAACTGCCATCTATAGTCTGATGTATTGTTTTCAGCAGCTGTTAATATTTCTTCTAAGTTTTTTCTGATTTTACGAGTAAACATGCTTTTCTGGATATCCTATTACGCATCCCACTAAAAATCAAGTTTGCCCAAAATGGGATATTTCGACATATGCTATTTGTAGTTTTGTAAGTTTTAGGGGTACAGAGTAACGTCTAAAACCATTTTTTGCTATTTCCAACGGTACTTTAGTACACTACCTTGTCATTTAGCTAGTTGTTATTTTGAAGAGTTTTCATATCCTCAAATTCCAACACTTCGCCATGAACGTAATAGCGTAAGCCTTTCTTGGGCATTCTATGGGCTGGTTCCTCCACTCTTGTGATATTACAGAACTTCTCTCTTGCACCTGAGACATTACAAAGAAAAGGTTCATGTTGCAATATCTGTTTCATATCATAATTTGAGCTGGAGGTGTTTCATAATTTCTTTTATCATTGTTTAGTTAACACACTTCATTTTCTTACCGAACTTCAATATTTCTGGGGTGGTTTTCGGTGACCTTTGTGGTGCGTCAAAACTGATGGTAACAGAATATTTCTCCTCAGGGTCGGGAGCAGATGTCACACTGTCTTCAACTACAAACATGATTTAAGACAGTTATTACTCCAATTCAATTGCTCTAGATTATGTGATTATTTTATGTTGAATTAATTAATTCATAATCATTATATATATATATATATATATTATCATTTATGTCCTTTGGTTGCATAACAAGTTAACTGTTTCATAATTGTATCCCCTTACCAGTTGCTGCTATTTCCACTTGTTCACCCGCTACATTGGGAAAGCACACCTCAGACTTCACTCTTGAGGATGTTGAAGGGAATTCTAATTGCAAAAAGTGAATAACCAATAGTTACTATTGCTCAGTTATTTTCAATGTTGAATGTCAAAGTCCTTTAAATGCCTCATGAGCTGTTATTAACATGGTTCTATGTATATTTACAGGATGTGAAGTAATGTAATGACATAATAGCCAAAGTACTTATCGTTTGAAAGGTGAATTCCGACATACAGGTATGCCATATACTGGTAATACTGCACAGTCCTATGACTTACATATTGTGTTCTCGTTAAATGGTAATGATTATCGTTATAAGATATTCAGTAAAATAATTACCGAATGCCAAGTCTTCACTGTGGGTTGTCTTTCGTTTTTTTGTACCCTGAAAAAAAAGGAACAAAAGGTCACTTATTTCTGATGTTCCGGAATCATATAACAGGGTATTTGCTTCTCTCTGTTTCAGCCCGAGATTGGAAACGTCAGTATCCCCCCCACCCAAAATACAAACGTCTGACCTGAAAGCATCACCAGGCACCCAATGACCATGCTCGGAGTCATCACTCTCTCCACTTTCAATCGAAACTCAATGCCAAAGTTATTTGAAGGTTGGGAGAGAATTTCATGTCTGATTCTGGTTAAGTATGAGATGTCATTTTTTTATACAAGAAATCAATTTTTTCTAAACTATGAACTGTCCATGCAATGTCACTATGTTGTGTATTCAGTCATATTATTTTTAAGCTGCTCCATTCTTACTTGAAGACAAGAGCACATTACCACACACCTCTTAATCCTGAGGCCTTTCTCCTTTTTCTTTGGGGAAGGTCTCGGACCTTGCTGGGGTTTTTTGATACAGGGGCAGATTCTAATAGGATGCCATCTGTCTTTGGTGCATGGGTCATTAGATGTGTGGCCACTGTCTCCAACTCTCATCTGGCTTTTTCCAAAACCCCCAAGGACTTGACAAGGAATGTCATACTGTGTATTTGGGAAATGACCTCCCTTACAGACTTAGCTGCTCTTGCCAGCTGCAGTGGTGAATCTTCCTTAACATGTTCTTCATCTTTCTGATGAACATGCTGTATGATCGAGGGTTCTGGTTTTGAAATGTCAGCAGCTGGAAGAGGTTTAATGGGTTGTGGTTTCACACAGTCATCATCAACAGTGATGATTGGATAGGACCTGTAGAAGTTGGGCAGTGAAGTCCAACTCACACTAGGCACATGCCGGAACACTGCTGCAAAGTGTTTGCAGGGCAGATGGTCCTTGCGGAATTGCCGACATGTGCATGATGGAATGGATTTGGTGTCTTCACTGCCCAGGAATACACTGTATGATTGTGATGTGTTCTCTGATTGAACTTCATACAGGTCCACCTCCACCTCCTTCACCATCTCAGAAGTGATGTGAGCAGATTTCTGCTTCAGCTCCCTCATGTGCTTAATGAATGGAGCTGGCCTGTGATGGAGCTCCTTTGGAATGCTTTCCATACCCTCCCTCCATCCTTCCGACATCGTTACGTTCGCATCAAGGTATCTATAATTATAGTAACTTTATATACAGGTGCATAAATTCATATTTTTCCTTACCCTGACTCGTGCTTAATTGCTTGTCACCTTCTTGCGAATGATAGTGGAACACTTGAATCCCCATTTGAAGCTCCCTTCCAAAAAAGCGGACGTAACCGCAATTACAGTGTTATCTCCCTTTAGATGTCTAAAGGAAGATAACACTGGGTGAATGATTTTACATCCTGTTTTTTTAAGTGAGCTTCAAAAGGGTATTCAAGTGTTCCACTATCCTTCGCAAGAAGGAGACAAGCAATTAAGCATGAGTCAGGATAAGTATAACATATCAATTTAAAAAAAAAAGTGTTTCTACCAATCAATTTTTCATGATCTGGTTGATATAATGTGCAAAGACCAATGGTACTGACAATGTTACTAATAACATTTTACATGTCAAAGAGACCCGTGAAGATACAGGGGTAGAATAGGTCTGATGCTGTTTATCACTGGATTGTCTGTTCCAGACTCGATTATTTGCAGACTGCCGCCATATAGCTTGAATATTGCTGAGTGTGGCGTAACCCTGAACACACTCATGTCAAGAAATCAAGAATACACTGCTGCAGAATTAGACGTGTAACAGTGTTATTCTAATATTACCACTGACTGACTGAGTTTGGATTTACGCCGCTTTTAGCAATATTCCAGCAACATCACGGCGGGGGGACACCAGAAATGGGCTTCACTCATTGTACCCATGTGGGATTCGAACCCAGGTCTTCGGCGTGACGAGCCAACGCTTTAACCACTAGACTACCCCACCGCCCCTCTAATATTGACCCGTGAAGATCTGGGGTAGAATAGGTCTTCAGCAACCCATGTGCTTGCCATAAAAAGGCGACTATCTTGTCGTAAGAGGCGACTAACGGGATCGGGTGGTCAGGCTCGATGACTTGGTCGACACATGTCATCGGTTCCCAATTGCGCAGATCGATGCTCATGCTGTTGATCACTGGATTGTCTGGTCCAGACTCCATTATTTACAGACCGCCGCCATATAGCTGGAATATTGCTGAGTGCGGCGTAAAACTAAACTCACTCACTCACTCTAATACTACCATGCAGACATGCAGACACACCAGACACCAAAATACGATTAGCAGTCATATGGTTTAAGCAGGGTGCGGATATAGAAACAGAAGGTGCAAGCGAGCTTAGAAAAGACAGTAATGGCAGTGGGATTGTTACAGGATGGGGAATTGTTATTGTAGGATTTATTTAGAATTATAAACAAATATATTTTCAAGATATTTTTTCTTTTTAACCGATTTATGCAGATACTTATGAACTAGTTGTGTAGCATTTTTGTAATGATTGCAAGCAACTTTACACTTGATCTACTTTCATATCAAACATGCATGTTAGGGTACAAAGCTTAAGGAAATGAGAAGTACTGATGCCATTGAACAATACTCACCATTACTGAAGTAACTGCAACTTGAAAAATTATGAAAATTATCTTTCCATGTGCAATCTTCAAAAATACATGTAATGAAAAATGTGTATTACTTTCAACGAACATAGGAACACCCAATATTTCTCATGTAATGCCAACCCGTCAAGGTTCGGGTTTGAATGAACCTTCTGTAACCAATGCTTGTCGTAAGAGGCGACTAAAGGGATCGCTTGGTCAGACTCGCTGGCTTATGTGACACGTTATCGCTTCCCAATTGCACTTTGATGCTCATGCTGTTGAACACTGGATTGTCTGGTCCAGACTCGATTATGCACACACCACCGCCATATAGCTGGAATATTGCTGAGTGGGGTGTAAAACTAAACTAACTCTATCTCACTCATTTATTCTAAAATTTACATTTAAAGATGAAGTATACAATGTAAAGGGTATTATTATACTGCATAGTTATATCTGTCTGTATGTATGTATCTGTATGTGTGGGTTTTGAACTTACTTTCGATGAGCGTCTTCAAAGAAGTTGTCAACCAACGTACTCATGAGACCACTGAGAGCTTTAACTCTAAAGGGAGCCAGATATTCGTGTTTAAATAGTTTGTTTTGCGCTTCCACGCCGTTGTTGGTGTTGACGATAAATGACAGCAAACTGTGCCTGTAGGCCAGTACCCATTTCTGAAATTATGGAAAATAGACATTTATTGCTATGTCTGTCTACTATTTGTTGTATGAATATACAACTGACTGAATACGTACATTTGCATGGTTATTAACAAAACATGGTTTGGTTAATACGCCAAACAAAGAAATTCCCATCCCTCAATTACAAATGGGGTGGTGGGGTAGCCTAGTGGTTAAAGCGTTGGCTTGTCACACTGAAGACCCGGGTTCGAATCCCCACATGGGTACAATGTGTGAAGCCCATTTCTGGTGTCCCCTGCCGTGATGTTGCTGGAATATTGCTAAAAGCGGCGTAAACCCAAACTCAGTCTGTCAATAACAAATGACAATGTTTTTATTCTAAGAATAAGCAAAAATACATATATGTGTAGATACCTACCTGGTATTTGCCTTCTGCAAGCCAGTGAGTGTTGATGTAATGTCTCAGTTTGTAATTTCTCCAAATATGACTTTGCCTCAGCACCTCCTCGTTCTTTTCAAATTCTGCAGGTGTGGCTGATTCAGCAACACACTGTTGAGAAGTATTTTAAAGAAATGCAAGTGAATCTGTTACAGATCGTTGGGGTTGCATGTTGGTAAAAGCGTTCGCATGCGTGCTGTTATTATCATTTGTTATGTGACATGACATGATATTGCTGAAATGATGCTAAAAGTAGCGTTACACTAAAATCACTCAATCTGTGTTCCCTGATATATACTGTAAGTTGAGTGAATACTTTTCACCTTCCTACTATTAGAATATGTACATGCCTTCATTACTATGTTATGTGGAACAGACTTGAGCTAACATGTGTGAAACTATTTGTGACAATTACATTCAACAATCTCAGAATTTCTTCTTGTTGCTCCGCCACTCCATTTCTAATGGCTGATGTCCAGCGCTGCCACGCCTGCTTCCTGTGGAAGTCGCAGATGAATATTTCTGCATCTGTAATGTTATTGTAGTTTTGTATGAGATTATTGGGATTATGAATAACGGAAAAGAAATCATGACAGTGATTTTATTGAAGGTGGTAATTGCTGATATATTACCAATTATTTACATTCACAGCGATCATTATGTTGACTGTTGCTAGCTGTTAAACATATCAGTATTTTTCAAACAGTTTCTTAAGAATAATTGTTACATAGCCATAAATACAGACCTGGAAATGTGTTGGTAATAGCATTTGCTTCAATCTCTGAAGCATCAATCATGAAGCTTTTGGTATTCCAGAATGGATTGAAATCCTGGATTATGTGGAGTGCCTCTTCAACTGACTGAGCATCTTCCTTCTCGATGACAAATGCAGCCACAACAACATACCCTTGATTTGTTCTCACACAAAGAAAGAACAATGGCAGAGCATAACGTGTTGTTCGATACGTGGCATCGAGAAAGACAATGTCCATGCCATATCTTTTTAGCAACATTTGCTGCCAGTCTGCCTGGTAAACCAGGAGCAAACTTTGTAGTGTAGCTCCTGTTTGGTCAGTTTGGTCAGTACAAGTGGCACTTGATGGCCGAAAATACCATCTGTCATGTGGTCTGATTTTTTTCCATTGCTCTATTTTGGTGAGCAAAAACTCCTGATCCAGGAGGCCATGCTGAAGTCTTCTGCGCTCCCTGTATATGATTTTACGGAAATCTTCCCTGCTGGGAAAAAATCTTCTATTGAAACGATTAGGCATGGTCTTTCCTGCAAAAAGACATTCCACAAATAACTGGGAATGTTTTTTCATTTCATTTGTGTTATAAATGCCGTCGTTGACTCTTTGCTTTATCAGGTCGATTAGCCGGGAATCAATTGGAGCTTTCAAATCTGCAGCCTGAAAAAAGCGTTGAAAATTATTTTTATTTACCACAAGTGGGAATTCATACCCCATGTGTTGTCATACATGTGACGACAACCGGTGGGGTATGATTCCTGTGTTATATATACTACAGGTGTGGATTCATACCCCAATGTGTTTTGGTACATGAGACAACAGATGGGGTATAATATATATAAAATAGCAGTCATACATAGATAACAGATGGGGTATAATTGCTATGTTGTATATAACACAGGTGTGATTTCCCTATCATAACCTGTTGTGCGTGCAGTCATACGATGAGGTAGATTGCTCTTGGCTGAAGAGCCATTAAAATACTATTGTAAGCTGCTATATGTGCAGTATTATGAAGATGTATATTGCTCTGGGCTGAAGAGCCATTATAATACTATTATAACCTGTTGTGCGTGCTGTCATACGATGAGGTAGATTGCTCTTGGCTGAAGAGCCATTAAAATACTATTGTAAGCTGCTATATGTGCAGTATTATGAAGATGTATACTGCTCTGGGCTGAAGAGCCATTATAATACTATGGTAAGCTGCTATATGATGCGTGCTGTCATACGATGAGGTAGATTGCTCTGGGCTGAAGAGCCATTATAATACTATTGTAGGCTGCTATATGTGCAGTATTATGAAGATGTATATTGCTCTGGGCTGAAGAGCCATTAAAATACTATTTTAAGCTGCTATATGTGCAGTAATGTGATGATGTATATTGCTATGGGCTGAAGAGCCATTAAAATACTATTGTAGGCTGCTATATGTGCAGTAATGACGATTTATAATGCTCTGAGAACGATGATGATTAAGGGTAAGTGCACAAAACATAAATAAGACACATGGTACTGAAGCCTATTTACCTTACAGGATATGAAATATGACGTTTTATGATCAGTAACTTGTGACCACAATATCATAAATCGTGGAAGAAGTTCCTAAAGAAACCATCCTGTAATATTGTGCAATTTTCATGGTTCATATCAAGGGGTTACAAACGACTGATGGAACAGCACCAGCACACATTAAGGTGCAAGTGAGCACAGCCAGGTGAGTTGACCCCCAGCTGGTCAGGTGCTCTTCAATGAGCGGTTTGTGACCCTTGTATTATTTGTTTTGTGCACTTATACCTGTTTCGAGATATTTAATGATCATAGTGTAATAACAGACTATAGAATATGTACATGATTCTTCTGTTAAATATACTACTGTTGTGAATTCATACCCCATGTGTTGATACATGACACAACAGGTGGGGCATGATTCAGTGTGTTTTACCCTTTCATATGGGATGATTTGTGTGTATTCATACCCCATGCTTTCTAATGAAGGTTGACGTTCATCATTTATTTTTTATTTTGAATGATTACCTGTCCCATTATGTGGTTTGAGTGAAGCTCCTCAGATGGTAGATCGATGAAGATAAGCTTTTCTGTTGATCTCATCGTATATAGGTGATTCTAATGCTGCTCTGAGCTCCTCGGATTTAAGCTGCTTGTAGTGATGAGATTCTGTGATTAGCTGTATAAATATGATATTTGTTACTTGTTAGTATTGTTTGGATTTTTTTTTAAATGTTCATATCAATACTGAAAGGTATGTGCACAGGTTACATTTGATTTTGTTCTTGACTTTTGCAGTACTTTCCTATAAATGGATTTTTTACACTTTGCATGTTCACAACATTGGTACTTAACATGTTCACTGGCATTAAAGAGTATACCCGTAGTATCAATGTTTGTTCGAATTGGCCACTACGAGTTATGTCATAGCTCCATCAGTAGTATTGTAAAACCAGTTTCAATTGCTGGCAAAATAGGCACAAGAAACAAACATATCCTTGCATTCTTCTTACCGCCAGGATGTGTTTGTTTCTTGTACCTGTTTTGCCAACAGGTGAAACTGATTTTACAATACCACTGATGGAGCTACAACATAACTAGTAGTGGCAAATTCGAACAGACACTCATACTAAAAGTATACTGGTGGTGGCAGTAAACGTGTTAACTGATGTGTTATGATTTAGGTTGATTTTAAAAGTGTTCAGAATGTTATTGTTAGCTTTATATTACATTTCACTACATATGCTGCTGTATACCTTGTAATCAGGAAATGTGATGACTTCCCGAAGGTAGATAGCAGCTGAACAACCTCTTTTTTTACTACCTGTGAGTTTCTTTGCCGGAATGTTCTGTGTGTAACCATGGTCACAGTCATGATGGTCCTAATGGAACAAGAAACTATTGTAATATGTGATTTTGAAAACGCAACAATAACGTAATGTGTAATGATGCTTCATGGTTTCATTGGGCTTTATCAGTGTTCATTTGACACATATTTCTGACACCCATTTCCAAGTGAATAGAGTTCGATTTGACATAAGATTGTGAAATATGTTTGGGTGATAATATGTTGCCCCTTTGAAGAATAACAGAAATAACTTCTTTTCGTTTTTGATGTATATCAAGACAACTTACACTAGGGTTGTTTTGACGGTGATTCGGTCCTTGATGGCATTCCATGAGCCGTGACCCAACAACCATAAATGGGATTCCATTTAGATTGATAGCAGAACCATGTTTGACTTTCCCATCATCTTTGAAACGTAGAAGATGATTCTGCAAGTGGGGTGCTACAAAACATAAAATACTTTTCTTATTATTCACATTCATAAGCAAATAGTTCTAATGTATGACACTGATGTTTGTATTAAGTATGATGTTTGATGAATGTGCTTGATACTTCATAGATGAATAAAAAGGAACTGTATCTGTTTCACTATGAAAGACACAAAGTTTTGAGTTTTTACTTATTCCTTTAACGGGAAAAAGTTTGCAGATGAGAATGACCTGTTATGTGAGTATTATCAACCATGAAAGGGAGTAAATACGTGAATGATGTTGATATTTTAATTTGCACTTACATACACCGTTACTAGGAAACATTTAACATTATAAACAAAAAGAAATTCATCTTGCATAAGAAACTAAATATGCATACAGCAAACAAAAAAATAAAATATATTCAGTATAATGGGAAAGAGTGTAGACATGTTTGCTTTAGATGGGAATCGAACTGATGAGTTCACATTATTCTTGAGACTAACATTCAAAAGCTTCTTTGTATATTCTTTCCATATTAATAATGACTATGTAATTATTATGCACATCACAGTATGAAACCAACCTACTTGTGAAATGATAAATGTGGGAACCCATTACACTTGCTGAAAATAATATATGTTTCATTCTTTCACACCTAACGATGAAGTAAATGTGTGAACCCATAATGCTTGCTAAAACAATTGTATTCAAATATAACAGACACTTCTGTACCGGACAACAAACCTGATGACCCTACTGGTTTAGACCTGCAGATATTTCACCATCTAGCTCATGTTTATTTACAGATCCTTACACAGGACAACTTGATTCAAATGTTACGAAAATGGTGGTTGCATAATATTTCAAGATGAGGTGAGAATGACAGTAGCAACAAAATGCAGTTAGCAGGTATACATTGCGAGCTTTAATAACAGATTAATACTACAGGAACTTGGTGATAAAAGTTGAACAGGATACAATTGAAGCGCCCATTTCACAACTTAGATGTTAGACTGTGATCATAATAGCTGTTATGGTTATGTGGGTGGGTATACATGATTAACTTGATGAAACGAAGGGGTGCATTGTTTACTAATTAAATAACATACAATTGAAAAATATTTTGAAATTTTACGAACTTGTCATAAAAGGCGACACATTTAACATTAAGTATACCTCCATTGATTGTAAAGCCGCCAGAAACCTCACTTTGTTGCCCTAGTTTCAACGTAAGAAGTAGAGGTTTCGTACGAAAACTCTTGTATGAGGTCTATGGCGTCGTCAAGGCATGTTACATAGCCATAGTATTTCCCAGAACTCCAAGCAAAATGGTCTTCCCAGGAAAATTTACCCCCGGATTGACCTGTCAAATCTGTCATGTCGACGACATTTGTGTGACCTTGAGTTCTATATATAGATGCTGATTTCCGTATTTTCTATTTTGGAAGGGAAGTGTGTGCGCATGACTAGACATTGACTTCCGATTCTTATCCGACGTGTTCAATACAACTGAAGCAGCCACATGACAATATAGGACAATTTAAAATACTATGTACAGAATAAATATATAATCTCTCTCTCTCTCTCTCTCTCTCTCTCTCTCTCTCTCTCTCTCTCTCTCTCTCTCTCTCTCTCTCTCTCTCTCTCTCTCTCTCTCTCTCTCTCTCTCTCTCTCTCTCCTCTCTCTCTCTCTCTCTCTCTCTCTGAACAAATGAAGAATGCTGAAGTGTTCTTTTTTCGTTTTGAGTAAATCCCGAAAAGCACGCAACTGTACCCTCTGCCATGCATTTTGCTCACGCTGAGTAATGAAAACTAATTAACAAAATCTAAAAAGAACATTTCAGATGTTTACTGTACTTCGACAGACTCGCAGGATTCAGTGACAGGTTGACAAGTGAGAGAAGAACAAATTAAGGTCTGGAGGTCCACTGACACACGTAGAAATTATAATTACTATTGCAATTTGACTATTTAATATAAAACATGCGGTGACGAATCGTAAAACAATTTCTCAAATTGCACAAATATCCCCTCTGTGTTAATTAAATTAGATCGATTGCGGAATTGATTCGTTAAAAAAAATTTACACGATAAAAGCCCTTCAGCAAGTCTAGATTGAGAGAAACAACCAATCAAATTGCGATATTATTGTTACCGGGAGTCATATGATTTTGAGTCACGTGAGTTGCAAAGTGTCCTGAACTGTGCTTGATATGTCGTTCTACACTAGTGTAACAGACGCAGCGGCCTGTCTTGGCTCTTGAGGGATCAACATGAAGACTTTCTTCGCATTACTGGTGTTGGCATTTGCCAGCCAAGGTGAGTAAAGTTCCATAATTGTTGACAACAGTTTCCACTTGTCGGGGGGATCTTGGCCTACTACAGTCAGTGGCCAAAAAGTCTGTTCGCAAAACATGTTACGTTGCCCATGTTTTGAGGGGTAGGTTGACTTTGAGAGCGTTTCGCCGTGCTGATAAGCCACCAATCGTGATGTGATTTGGGGTACAAATTTCACAGGTCACAAAATATGTTTAGCACCGATAATATGCGATTATCTCCCTTGCTTTGTTTATATTTTTGTCGTCTGCTATCATGCCGCCTGTCAACCGAGAATTGACACCTGACCAAAGAAATTTAATTGTTGACTTGAAACAGCAAGGCCAATCAAGCTACAAAATTGCTGATTTGACAGGTATAAACCCAAGAACAATTCAGAAAATTTTAAAACGTTTTCGGGAGCGAGGTTCAGTTAAATCGTTGCCGAGAAGTGGGCGGCCCCGAAAATCGTCACCAAGAAGCGAACGACGGCTTTTTCGTCTTGTGAAAAGAAATCGCCGGCAAACACTTGGGGATTTGACAGCAAAATATAACAATCAGGGACAGACTACACTGTCTTCTCGCACTGTCAGAAGAAGATTGTTCACTGAGGGGTACCGTAGACATGTGGTAAGCAAGAAAATCACCATTTCTCGTGTTAACAGAGAGAAGAGACGCCGATTTTGTCGGACAAAATTGCATTGGGGAAGAAATGAGTGGGATAATGTCATTTTCAGTGATGAGACACAAGTCCAGATTGGGATAGACAGAAAAGTTTATGTGTGGAGAAAGTCGCATGAGCGGTTACGACCCGATTGTTTGGGGGTTCGTACCGATCATGAACGAAATTCGAAGTTTTCAGTGATGTTTTGGGGGGTGTGTGTCTGCGTATGGAGTGGGAACTTTAACTGTCGTTGATGGCAACATGAACACTGATAAGTACATTGCCATTCTTGATAACCACTTGTGGCCTGTAGTTGCCAGGCATTTTGTCAACCGGAATTGGATTTTCCAAGAAGACAATGCCCCATGTCATGTGTCCATTCGGGCTAACCGTTGGAAACAGGAAAATCATATTCCTACTTTGCCGTGGCCCCCACAAAGTCCAGATCTCAATATCATTGAAGGAGTTGATGAACCATGACAGGTTGTCATCTGACATTCCACACAAATTCTGATCAAATTTCACTTATGATGAGGAAATGTATGTGCTGAAAATAATCATTTGGGTTTGGAAAATAATTTATGGTAGGAATTCTGCACGTCACCTCCGCTTGAAATGTATTCTATTTATTATGATTATTTCAAGGGGTTAGGGTTTAGAGTTTGGGTTTAGATTTAGCATTATGTTGGTTTAGGGTTAGAGCAGGCTTTCTATAAGAAAACATCTATTCTTACTATAAATCTTAGGCATAGAATACAGGGGTTATGGGCGGAAATCTTTCCTATGTTAGTTTCGCTATTTCACAAAAAACGATCTGCAAAAGAGCTGCTAGCTAACGAAAGTGAAAGTGGTAGGCTTGTCAACAAAGAAATAATCAGAGAAGCAAAAACACCATGCCCTGCATTGGCTGTGCGTTAAAAAAAATTCATCGCTCTTGAAAGTCATTTTTTTCATTGGAATGTCATGTCTAATCACAGAAATATTGAAGTATTCATCTTTGCAGTAACTTGTCTGACATTTTGAAACTAGTATGACCCCTACCGCCATACCATCTTGCACGAATCAAAACTTACTTCATAAAGAGTAATCCCGTGACAACTTATAAGTTCATTTGCATATTTTCCGTTCTAAAACTATACCAGGAAGTGACATATTGTGTAACTTCACCCGGCTACAAATTGTATGGCACATTTTAAGGTGGCAAAAAATTATTTTGTTATGTTATTGTTACCTTATATCCAAATGAATAGAAGCTTAAGATGTTTTGGTTAAAAACATGATGATATTACTAATCATAATGAAATTCCTAAATAACTTTTAATATTAAAACTATTTAGATTTGTTACTTGTCTTAAGTAAACGTTTGATAATGTCATTTGCTTGTACCATTGTGCCGAAGTAAGAAAATAGCAGTACCGAGATAATAGATAGTTGCTTCTATCTCCAGGTCAATCGAGACAATCATGTTAATCAGCCTTAATCATGTTAATCTCAGCCTAATGAATGTTATTTCAAACACTGATGATTTTAAAATTATAGACCTTGAAACTCAATAACGGAGTGGTTTGGGCATAGGTTCCTGAAAACATATACCTGGGATACCTTAGAAGATACTCACATGAGTTTTCTGAGGAAGTTGATGAACCATGACACGTTATTCAAGACTCCACACAAATTCTTCTGATCAAATTTCACTGATGAGGAAAAATGTGTACTGAAAGTAATCATTGGGGTTTGGAAACTGGTTTTAGTTTCAATGTTTCACAAAAGCAAGACACAAAAGAGCTGCCATCTAAAGAAAGGGAAAGTGGTACATTGTTCAACAAGGAAACATTACTAACACTTCAGGAAGTTCCAGCTTTAGTCTCAACCTAGTGGACAAATGTTATTTTAAACAGTGATAATTCTAAGATTCCAAATCCGCAATGAAACGCGATTATGTAGCTGTTGGAGTGGTGGCATAGGATTCTGAAAACATATACCAGGGATACCTTTCTGTAGATAGAGCTCCTCAGTCTGGAGAGCTTAGTTAATATATGATGAATCTTATTAGAACTTATATTTCAAGCAGCACAGTCATGAAAGTTCCCATCCAGCGTGTTCCTTTTTGTACTTCCATGACTGACTTTACCAAAGTTTGGCATACTAAAGTCTGCAGAACAACAAATGTTTAGCTCACTCAAAGATGTATATACAAATGAGCGTGTCTGTCATATTATGGACCTACATTTATAATGTCTTTAATGGCATTAAGAAGTGATACACATTAGGATAAAGATCCATAAAACTCTCTTCCTTACATTTATAATCGTGAGGATCCTCAAACTGAAAGAATTGTGGCAGTATCGCAGCTTGAAAAAATCCTCTTTGATCCAGGGCTGCTAATTGTAAATCTCCTCGTAAATTGACGCTTCTTTCTCCCAGATTTACGTTTTCCAGCAACTGTGTGTGTTGACATGACCACATGTCCATTTGACCACAGTAACCTTTGGACTAGTTAGATAAAACCAGTGTTATCCAGCCTCATGTAAGAATGTCGAGTTTTGATTGGTTCACGCGACTCTGATAAAATACCATGTACACCCATCACAATCCGCGAGCAGGGTGTACAAAAGTCGTATTATCCCGCCACACCTCGGTGAGCACGCAAAGTGAGAAAAGCGTGAAAAGCGTGCATCTCCAAGCCTTTAGTAACGTGCGCTGCATTGAGGTCAATCGATCAGCTGGTGTCAACATGGCAGCAAGGAAACGTTTTGCCACAACAACTGAGAATTTTCTTTTCTTTTCTTTTCATTTAGTAAAAACATTCGGCTAGATAAATGCGTTATCACATTGTGTTGAGGGAAATATGGGGTTTTATCAGTCCTTCTTAAGGTTGTATTCCCCAAGCCGGAGGCGAGGGGAATACAACCTTACTCGGGACTGATAAAACCCCGTATTTCCCTCAGGGTTGACTTATGAAACACTGGCTGTCGAAGAGACTGCTACAGACTCATGCCATGTATATTCGGACACTTGACGTGATTTCCATAGACTTACATGTTATTTCAGTGTAGCATAAATAATTTTCATGAAGTGAGTTTAGGTTAGACCTTATAAAATTTGGCAGGCAAATTTGAAATCATCTCTGCTCTGCGCATGTAACTTCAGTTCAATTTTCCGATCACTGTTTAACTAATGACATCACTTTTATCAACTTACATATAGTTCCAAAATGCACGATCCCATAGGCCGCCATGTCAAAGGAGTTCACGGCACTGTACATATGTTGATTAAATTGTTGCCATTCGATAAATAAGCAACGGAAAATTAAACAGAAATTATGTAATTGTAGGTAAGATGATTCCTCACAGATGTGCAAAAATTGACTTGGATCATACGAAAATTAAATTCATGAAAATTATTTATGCTATACTAAATTAACATGTAAGTCTATGGAAGTTACGTCAAGAATATAACTGTTAGGGTCTGTACGTTTTGCATTGTTGCATGGAAGCCATATTAAAACTTAATGAAATAAGTACTTTGCAAAAGTCACAATTGTTTTATTCCATAACTGAATATTTCCTCCAAATTGCCTGGATATGTTTTGACAAACAATGACACCTCATTTTGGAGGAACAGCTACCTTGTTTTGAAATTTGAAATTGTCACTGAAGTCTATTATTTTAAATGTTGAAATGAGGGCCATCAAGAAAGTATTACAGGTGGAATTTGTTTGGGCACATGTGTGTATGCACACTTCTGTATATGTATGCAATAATCTTTAAAATGTGTAGTTAAACCCTATTCTTCCTCAACCCACATCTGAATTACAAGAGGGAAAATCAGACAAATAGCAAACAAGCAATAAATTGTATAAAACTTGGACACAAATATGGCCCCCTCATAACCTATGCAGTCGAAGTAAAACTCCTAGAACGTGATTGTGTTCATAACATCTAGTTTTATGATCTACGGCATACAGTCTTCCTTTGTCATAAAAGTCACGAGAACAGTTAGCCACTGGGATTCATGGGAAATGGTTACATTAGATTCAAGATCAGACATGTTGATGTTTAAGGCAGGAAATGTTGGGTCAGCCTTGGATGACGCATGGTGATGAAAACTGAAATGTGGCAGATGAGTTGATAAAAGGATGTAGGATTAAAGGTCTCCACAAGTGGGCCAAAGTCCAGCGTGCATCATACTGCACAGGTAGTCTGTCGCTTCAACATTGTAGCTGTCACATGGTCATGAGCCTCCAAACATGACTTTCACAATGCTGTATCCGGATGTGACTGACGTAACTTGGATTCCAAACTAGTTCCTTGTCCCAGCCATGGCAAATTGGGGGAAA